CCTCTGGGCCTGGGCTCTTTTTGGTGGGTAAGGACTTAATTACATTTTCAATTTCAGTAACAGAGATTGGGTTATTCAACAGTTTTACAGCCTCTTGATCTAGCTTTGGTACTTCATATGCTTCTAAGAATCTGTCTATTTCTTCTGTGTAATCAAACTTTTGACAGTAGAGGTTTTCGAAATAGGTGTTGATGATCTTCTGTATTTCTATTATGTCTGTAGTGACTTCACCTTTTTCATTTTTTATTGCATGAATTTGAGCTTTTTCTTACCTTTTTTTAAATAAGGTTGGCTAGGGGCTTATCGATTTTATTTATTCTTTCAAAGAACCAACTCTTTGATTCGTTGATTCTTTGGATTGTTTTCTTAGTCTCTATTGCATTGATTTCTGCTCTGATTTTTATAATTTCCTCTCTTTTGGCTTTGGGCTTGACTTGCTCTTCTTTTTCTAGCTGTTTGAGGTGTAGCATCAAGTTATTTATTTGTGCTCGTTCTGTTTTCCTGATGTGGAAACTCAGTGCAATAAATTTTCCTCTGAGGACGGCTTTCATTGTATCCCACAGATTCCGGTAAGTGTATCTACATTTTCATTTTCTTTTAGGTATTGTTTAATTTCCTCTTTAATTTCTTCTGTGACCCACTGATTACTCAAGAGTGTGTTATTCAGTTTCCATGTATTTGCGAGATTTTTGCAGTATCTTTTATCATTAATTTCTAATTTCAGAGCGCTATGATCCGATAACATGCAAGGGATAATTTCAACTCTTTTGCATTTCTTTAAATATGTTCTGTGAGCTAATATATGGTCTAGCTCATATATATGAGCTAATATATGGTTTAGAGAATGATCCATGTACTGCTGAGAAGAATGTGTATTCTGATGTTTTTGGGTGGAACATTCTGTATATGTCTATCAAATTCATTTGTTCACAGGTGTGATTCAGTTCTGTTATTTCTTTGCTCATTTTCTGTCTGGTTGATCTGTTCCTTGGTGTCAATGGCGAATTAAGGTTTCCTGTTACAATTGTGTTACTGATAATTTGAGTTTTCATTTCTGTTAATAGTTGTTTTATATAACTGGGTGCTCTGGAGTTTGGTGCATATATATTTAAGATAGTTATCTCTTCCTCTTGCAGTTCTCCCCTTACGAATATGTAGTGACCTTCTTTGTCCTTTATGGTCATTGTTGGTTTAAAGTTCACGTTGTCTGCAAACAGAATGGCTACTCCTGCTTTTTTTTGGATTCCTGCTGCATGAAGTATTGCTTTCCATCCTTTGACTTTCAGTCTGTGAGTATCCTTCTGGGTTAGATGGGTTTCCTGTAAACAGCATATGGTTGGATTTTGTTTCTTGATCCATTCTGCTAGTCTGTTTCTTTTGATTGGTGCATTGAGACCATTTATATTAATGGTTATTACTGTTAAATGCTGGTTAATTGTAGGAATGTTATCTCTCTGCTGTTGCATCTTTATCTTTCTGTTCTGTTTACTTATCTGCTTTGCTTAGTGGTTTTTTCCTTTGTGTATCTAAACTGTCTTTCAATATTTTTTGCAGGGTTGGTTTGGTGTTCATGGAGTTCTTCAGCTGTTCTTTGTCATGGAAGTATCATATTTCACCATCAATTTTGAATGATAGTTTTGTAGGATACATCAGTCTAGGTTGGAAATCATTTTGCTTTAGGATCTGGAATACTTCACTCAATGCTCTTCTTGACTTTATGGTTTGTGCTGAGAAGTCTGCTGTGATTCTGATAGGTTTTCCTTTATAAGTGATCTGTCTTTTCTCTCTGACAGCTTTTAATAATCTATTCTTGTTTTGGATTTCTGGGATGGTGATTATTATATGTCTGGCTGTAGTTTTATTTTGATTATGACTATTTGGAGTTCTATATGCTTCACTGATCCTGATGTCAGTTTCTGATCTCATGCTTGGGAAATTTTCAGCTATTACTTCTCTAAATATCCTCTTGACATCCTTTATATTATCTCCTTCTTTTTCATTAATCCCTATCATTCTTATGTTATTTTTCTTTGCATCGTCTTGCAGTTGTTGAATTGTTGTTTCCTGATTCCTTGTTATTTTTAAAAGATATTTCCTTGCCTGTTCACTAGCTGCAATCCTGTCCTCAAGGTCTGAAATTCTATCTTCACTTTCATTAAGGCGGTTTTTACAACTTTCAGTGGAGTTTTTTATTTCCTGTATATCTCTGTGCATCTGCATTATGTATTCTGTTTGTTTCTTATATTGCTCATCTAGGGATTCTATCTTTTTGTTTAGTTCCTCCAATTTTTATCTGTGTTTTCTTTAGATATATTCAGAATCTCTTTCATTTCTTTTATCATTTCTTCTTTTACCTGGGAGATTATTTCGAGTTTGAATTTCTTTAAAGCTTCCTGGAATTGCTTGTTAATTTCAGTAGCTATTGTGTCTGATATTTGAGGTAAATGGCATATATTTTCTTCTATATACATTGCTCCTAGGGTTTCTTGAGATGGGCTGGAGGTTTGAGGTTGTAATTTGGTCTTTCATTTTGTCATTTTCCTATATTTCTGTGTTTCAAGTGTTATTTGAAAGCTTCCTCAGGATCTGTTGGAAATCCCCTTCTATGTTTGCAGCTACTGAGACTCTGGCACCATGTTACCCCAAGCCACTGGGCCTGCAGAACCAGTGGCCCTCCTCTGCCTGTTCAGAACTCTGCAGTTCCAGATAAGCTGGGCCTCAGGGACACTGTGCACCCACCTGCCCATTGGAAGCTCCACAGCTCTCCAATCCCAGCCGGGATGTGGAGGCGGATGTAGCTGCCTCAAACCCACCTCTCCACTTCACTCCACCTGGAAGCCTGGAGGGACCCGAACAATCTGTGCTTTGGGCAGAGTGCGCTGAGCACTCACCACTGGCTGCAGGGCCTCTGGAACCTGCGATGCTCCACTGCCTGATGAGACATCCACAGTCCTCCAGACACACGGGGAGGCTAATGCAGGCGCCCCAGACCCACCCAGCCCCTCCTCTACACTCCGATGGCTAGGCTTGCCAGTCCCAAACAGATCATAGTGAATCTTATTGCCTTCAAAGTAGGTGCCTACACCCTCAAACTTGGTACTATCAAACAGAAGAGGATAGAGTAAAATCAGTCAAAACAAGATGATGAGAGAAATACATGGCTTCAAATCAAGTTAATAGGAAAACAAAAAATGACTATACTATATCCTGCCAATAATTTTTTAAAAATTATTCCTGTAATTAAAAAAATAAATTATTTTAAATGGGGGAGATTGAGATAAAAGAGGACATAACTAAATAACAATACAGGTAAGAACAGAACAACTCAAGCAACCTAGTGCTTCACCACAAGATAACCCAACTTAATAGTAGTTACCATAGCATCTCTTTCCTTGAAATATTTGAGTATAACTTTGTATACTATGGCATCAAACATATTAAGGCAGTATGAAGCCATTTAAGAGGATGAAAGTATTACAGGGTATTTAGAACCAGCTAACAGAAAATGAACAATGGTTTCTATATTATCTCTTTGCCTATAAAAAATTTTGTTTATACTATCACATATGATAAAATCCAGTAATATACAACATGATAAAAGCAACGGAGACAGAAAAACAACAGTTTGATGGAACTTCAAAACAAAATGATGCTAAATTAGCACTAGCTATTATGATGTCTTGTTTTCTTCAAAATAGCTGTTCATATCATCACAAACAATAATATCAAACAACCCAGAATAAAACCATTCCAATTAATGAATGAAAACTTTATAAGGCTTCAATGCCACATAATGGGGAATTATGATTACCACATACTTTTATATATTGTATCACTTCTTACACTAGAGAAACTATTTGGTATTTATATATGTGAGTTTGATTTATTTCACTTATGAGTATGGTCTCAAGCTGTGCCCATTTATTTATAAATATCTCAATGTGATCCTTTTTTATAGCTGAGTAGTACTCCATTTTATGGAGCTTTTTTATCCATTCCTCAGTTGATGGACACTTAGGTTGTTTCCAAGATTTGGCAATTACAAATTGTGCTGCTATAAACATGGGTGCACATATATCATGTGGTATGATGCTTTCAGTTCTTCTGGTAAAATGCCTAGAAGTGGAATAGCTGGATCAAATGGGCTTCAATCCCAATTTTTGAGAAATCTCCAGACTGACCTTCACAATGGTTGTACCAGTCTACACTCCCACCAACAGTGCAGGAGAGTTCCTTTTTCCCTACAGCTTCTCCAGCATTTGTTGTTGATGGTTTTCTTGATCCTGGCCATTCTTTCAGGAGTGAGATGGAATCTCAGTGTGGTTTTAATTTGCATTTCTCTAATGACCAATGATGATGAACGCTGTCTGCATGCACCTCCCCCATCGTGGTGCTCATGGGGAAGGCAGGCTGGTGTGCAGCGTGGGGAGGGATTAAGACCTGGGTGAAGTGGGGAGGAAAGCTGTGGGATTTGGTGTGTGAGATAAGGGGAAAAGCTGTATAGAAAGAAGTTACCTCCTAAGTGTGGGGAGGGGGAGGGATCTGGAGGAGCAGCAGGAGAGAGGGACACATTCTTAAAACAAAGGCCTAAAGATGGAGAGTTTTTGCAATCTTGTCATCAGTGTAATAAGCTATAAATAAAAGATCAGCTTTTTGGTTTTAGATAGCCTTTTGAACCAGGCACCCCATAGGTTTGTTTTTTGGGGGGACAGGAAGTGATCCCATGATCAAATCACAGTCAGGTGAGCCAACGGACTGTGGCCTAAGGCAGGTCAAGTCATCAGGTGGCCTCTTAGACTGATGGTAATCAGTTCCAAAACTCATGTTTTTTGATTTTCACCAAAAAGCACAAGTGGATTTCCTGAGGCTTACAGTAATGGCTCTGCCTCGGGGCTGCCCAAGGGACATGAGAGTGCTACCCCAGTCCAGGGAACAGAAAGAAAATCCGGCGTGGGGTCTGGCCCACCATGGAGTAATCTTTGGAGTTTGCTCACCTGCGGTAAATGAATTAGACCGGTGTTGCTTGCAGAACAGCAGCAACAAGTTTAGTTGAGAAGTGAGGAATTAATCCAGGATGCAGTCCAGTCCATAACTCAGCAGGGAACTCAGACTGGGAGGGTCCCAGGAGTCACTCATCTGCCGTTCCTGGTCAGGGAACCAACTGATACAATTTTCAGCGTGACTAAAAAGATAAGAAATATGAAATAAAAGTGGCTTTTATTTTAAGAATGTGAAAAGACACTCCATGACCTCTGGGGTCTGGCTTTCTCTCTGCCCAACACGTGGTATGGGGGCATAAATATAGCTTAGGTTTGGAGTGGTGCCTAAGTGGCATTACTGATGCACAGGTAGCCCATTGGAATTCATTTCGTGCCATAGGTAAATTGCCTAGGGGCGGAAAGGTGATCTCAAGATATAGCCCCTTGGTTCTGCCTGCCACTGCTGCAGCTTCCCATTCAGGGCAAAATCCTTTCATCCACTATAAGAAAAAGTGACATAATTACTCTAAACATCTGTTTGTCCTGATATTCCATGACTGAGACTGACTAACGGTCACAGAAAATATTGTGGCCTAGTCAAACAAACATCAACTTCTTCTAACCAAAAAATTGAAAGGATAAGATTTTCCAACAGATTCAAAGCTAAGAAACCAGGTATACCTGGATGATACCTCAAAGAAGTACTCATTATCTAAGGTTCTTAAATATTAGTAATAAAGTACCATTGCCACCATGGGCAATTTACAAGCATTATCCCAGGAATCAAACTAAAAAAAGAAAATGAGAATCCTCTTGACAATTAAACAAGACGCAACCCCAGATATCCAGTTTACAACACAGAGGGCAACGAAGTGGGACAATCTGAAACTCTCTCACCTGGCCTCTTTTTGAAATGGCTAATGATACAGGGAAATAAAGTACCCAACCTACTATGTATGTGAGCTTTTGTTTTCTAAAACTGAAGAATGAATTTTAGGAACAATGGAGGTAAGAGTAGAATATATTTATTGAGAGAAAATAAGCTTCTGTCTGAAGAGAAGCAGAAGGGGTCCCGAATGCATCGCCAAGGACTCTGTCTTTTCCAGGGTCTTTTATAGAGTAAACCATGGGTTCAAGGTGGGAGAAGCCTGGGAACTCACAAGGTAGATGGGCATAAGGTGGGGCATAACTATAGCTAGCCAATAAGATCAATAGTTAAGGCAAAATTGATTATATTAGGAATAAATGGGAGAAGTGAGTCATGTAGAAAGGGGGCATTCTTATAGAGCTGTGATTTTCCTAGGGGGATGGGAACTATTTAGGGTATCTCAGGATATGGGTACATTTGTATGATCTTCTGTCTTGAGGCCTGGCCCACAGCAGGAGGCGTCAGCTTCCCTGGCAGCTGCGAGGTGTTTGCACTGGCTCTGTTGAGGACCTAGCCCTATCTATCCTATACTATTTCTAACTAGCTCAGCTCCCTGCAACAGTAACAACAAAGCAACTGAACGAAAAAATCAGAATCTGGAAAAAATCAGATGAGAAATAATCTGTCAGATAACTACAGAGATGCTCTACAAAATAAAGTCCATGCTTAGTGATGATAGAGAAAACACAGCGAAAGATAATAGATGAGCTTAAGAAAATTATGGGAGCTGTGAAAGAAATGGAATCCATAAGGAAGATTCAGGTTGATACCCAGGAGAATAAAAAAAATTTCATTGAAAGTATTCACAGCAGATTAAGCCAATGTGAAAACAGAATCTCAGGCATAGAAGATAGGTTTGCACTTAATGTTCATGAAGAGAAAGATTTTTAAAAAATAGAAATGGACCATGAGAAATCAATCCAGAAGCTACTAGTGAGACAAAGAATAACTTAAGATTGATTGGAGTTAATGAAAAGCAGGAGATAGCACAAATGATATTACACTTTTCACAGATGCCATGGCAGAAAACTTTCTGGTAGAGAAAATGATTTTACATACAAACATGTGAGGCATATAGAACTCCAATTATGCATGATCAAAAAAATCTATAGCCAGGCATATCACAGTCAAGATTGCAGAAATTCAATGCAAGAATAGAATCTTAAAAACTGTTAGGGAAAAGAAAAAAAATCGCCTATAAAGGAAAGCCCATCAGAATCACAGCTGATTTCTCAGAACACTCTCAAGTCAAAGAGAACTGGAAGTGAAGTATTTCAAACTCTATGGGAAAATAAGCCTCAAAACAGATTGATGTACACCACAATACTATCTTTCAAAATTAATAGAGAAATAAGATACTTCCATTATAAAGAACATTATAAAGAAATTTATAGTCACAAAATCAGAACTCCAAAATATTTTGAAGGACATTCTAGAAAGAGATAATAAAGACTACAGCTCCATGAATTCCAACAAAAGGAATCCACCAGGGAAGGCAAACAGAGGTGAGGAAAAAAAGGGAGAGCCAACAACATGACAAGGATAAGTCAATACATATCAGTTATGTTAATGGCCTCAATTCACCAGTAAAGAGACATAGACTGACAGAATGGATCAAGAAGCAAGATCCAATGATACACTGCATACAAGAAACACATTTAATTCACAGAAATTCATACACTGAAAGTTAGAGGATGGAAAACAATACTCTACATGACATGAACCCAGAAAAAAGCAGGTGTAGCTAATCTATTTGCAGACAATTTGAACTTCAAACCAAAAATGATCAAAAGGGATAAATAAGGTCACTACATCCTTGTAAAGGCAACAATCCAAGGGGAAGAGATAAGAATCATAAATATATATGCAACAAATACCAGGGCACCCAACTATATAAAACAAATGATAACAGGCATGAAAAATCAAGTAAGCCCTAATACAATTGTATTGGGGGAATATCAATATCCTCCTGTCTCACAAAGACAGATCAACTAGACAAAGAAAAATCAACAATGGAATAGTAGAACTAAACCAAACTTCAACAAATCGGCTTAATATACTATAGTGTTCCACCCATGAAATCAGAATACACATCCTTCTCAGCTACACATGGGAAGTTTTCCAAACTAGACCACAAACTAGCTAATAGGACATGCTGATAGAACATGCTTAAGTAAATGCAAAGGAATTGAATTTATCCCATGTGTATTATCAGACCATAATGCAATGAAATTGGAAATTCATAGCAAAAGAAACCATAAGAACTTCATAAACATATTGACATTAAATAGCACCCTACTGAACAAAAAATAGATCACAGATGAAAATACAGAAGAAACAAAACAGTTTTTACAGTTTAATGATAATGACAATACAACATACTGGAACTTACAGAACACAATGAAAGCAGACCTAAGAGAAAAATTTATGCCAGTGGATACCCCATATCAGGAAAACAGAAAAGTACATATAAACAATAGTGAATCTCAAACTTCTAGAAAAAAAGAGCAGGCTAATTTAAAAGCTCATACAAGGGCAGAAATTTTAAAGATCAGAGCAGAAGTTAACACATTGGAAACTAAAAAACAATACAAAGAATCAATGAATTGAAGTTAGTTCTTTGAAAGATTAAATAAAATTGACAAACCCTTATCAATAAAAGGAAAGACACAAATCCACACAATTAGAAATGGAAAATACGAAATCACAACAAACCCTGCAGAAATACAGAAGATCATCTATACCTACTTTGAAAGCTTGTATTCTAAAAACATGGAAAATACAGAAGAAATGGATAGAATCCTAGAAACACATGAATTACTAAAGCTGAACCAAGAAGATATAAAAATCCTAAATAAATAAATATCAATCAATGAAATAGAAAGTATAATTAGAAAACCACCAAATAAAGAAAAGCCAAAGCCTTGATAGATTTGTTGCTGAATTCTACAATAAATTTAGAGAAGAACTAAAACCACTACCTCTCAAATTCTAATGAAATTGAAAGGGAAGCAGTAGTTCCAACTTTATCCTGGAAGCAAGCATTACTCTGATTCCAAAAGCAGAGAAGAACCCAACTAAGAAAGAGAATTATAGGCCAATCTCCCCAATAAAAATAGATGCAAAAATCCTCAATAAGATACCAGCAAATAGAATTCATCAAATCCTCGAGAAGATTATACACCATAACCACATGAAATTTATCCCAGGTGTGCAGGGATGGTTCAATATATGCAAGTCGATAAATGTAATACACCATATTAACAGAGCCAGGGACAAAAATCATTTGATCATTTCAATAGATGCAGAAAAAGGTTTTGACAAAGTCCAGCATCCATGCATGATAAAAATCCTACAGGAATCTGGAATAGATGGTCTTTATCTCAATCTGATAAAAGCCATCTATGAAAAATCAACAGCCAACATCATACTAAATGTAAACACTCAAAACTTTCTCACCATAATCAAGAAAAAGACAAGAATATCCACTGTCTCCACTCTTATTCAACATAGTCCTGGAAACTTTGGCCAGAGCAATTAGACAAGGGAAAGAAATAAAATGAATAAAGACAGGATGACATGTAGATGGTACGGTATTCTACATAGAGGGCCCTCAAAAACTCCACTAAGAACTAGTAGATTTACTAAGCAAATTCAGCAACTTAGCTGGGTTCAAAATCTATACTCAAAAATCAATAACTTGCCTATATATGAATAACAAACTCACAGAGAGAGAAATCAGGGCAAAAGTATCTTTCAAAATAGCATCCAAAAATAAAATACCTAGGAATCAATCTAACAAAGGATGTAAAAGATCTCTTCATTGAAAACTACGGTACTCTGGAAAATGAGATTGAAGGGGATATTAGAAAATGGAAAGCTACCCCTTGCTCCTGGGTAGGAAGAATCAATATAGTAAAATGGCTTTACTTCCAAAACTGATATACAGATTTAATGCAATTCTGAACAAAATTCCAATGGCGTATCTCACAGAATTAGAGAAAACAGTTCTAAAATTCATCCAGAATTAGAAGAGACCTAGAATAGCGAAGGCAATCCTGGGCAACAAAAACAAGACTGGGGCATCAAAATCCCTGGCTTGAACTACTCTAATGCTACTGTGATTAAAAACAGCACATAGTACTGGCAAAAAATACCTGAAGAACAATGCAGCATATTATAAAATTCAGAAACAACTACAGACAAATGAAGCCAACATATCTTTGACAGGGGTGCCAAACATGTGTGCTGGAAGAAAGCCTCTTTAATAAATGG